GATGAGATGAGATAAGATAAGCCTGCTCAGGCACATGCGCTCAACCCGATTGGCCAGATGGTGAGTTTTTGGGTCATATCTCCTGCCCCATATGTCAGAGACACAGAATTCTTTTTCCTCCTGACTAGGAGTCTCATGGCCCACAAAAAAGGCAAAAAAAAACTATATGGCTTTGCCCTGATCTGGTGTCAAAGCAATCCAAGAACCTGAACTGGAGCTCATATTGCAAAAAGCATTCATATACAGCTAACTCAGAAATGCCTTGACCAATTGTTACAAAACTTCACAGGCATATACCCTAGGGGAGTTGAAGACGATCTGCAAAGTTATGTGGAACTGCATTGCTAGGTGGCGCTATAACAAGCCAAAAAGTCTTAAGACATTGTCCGGTTAACAACAAACTTGGTCCACCTGCTCTATGCCTAATATTGAAACAAGGTGCAAAGTTTAGTGGACATATTAATAGGGGGTGCTAAAGCAATAATTACACATGTTGAACATATTGGCAAATTTCTTACAATTTAAAAATGACCTTTTCTAATAAATAGACCAAAAAAACCCACATTTGGTGTAAAGTCTGTCATGCCGTGAACATGAAAGAAGATGAAGTCCATTTACTGCAGCATTTCAACATAGAAGGCAGCCAAGTTTACCAAAACAGTGCATTAACTTAGTATATTTGTACTCCATTCAAATGACCCATGAGCCAAATTTAACACATTGTAATATGACCTTTACTAATAAGTATTTTTTAATTTATTTTTTAAGATAATTAAATTAGCTTATTTACAATGTATCAGACTGTGTAATCATCCAAATATGCAGTCATTCATTAAAGCATTTTGAAGTAACTTGCAGCTAAAGTTACCAAATCAATTCATTTTTATTAGTTTTTCACTTCATCTGAATGACTCATGAGTCAAATCCAACAGATTATTAAATAGCTTGTGCTAATAATTAGACCAGTAAAACAGCAAACTATGCACAAACCAAAGAAGTCCTTTTATTGCAGATTTTTTTAAAAACTGAAGGCCCACATTACCAAATCAGTTTAATAAGTTGTGTTTTCCATCTGATTGACACAGGAGTCAAATTCAACACATACAGATACCGATAACTATCGCGATATAACTTTCCTTGATAGAACTATAAGAAATGTTCGATATATTTTCGATATAAAAAAGCATTCTCACACTTCCATGTTCTAGCGACAGCCGAGGCATTTTCTACTGCAAGGAAAGTGGCACTACTCTGCTGTCACCACGAGAGGGTGCACTTCTGAGTAAAATGAAGCATGCATTGTGTTTAAAGACCACTGCTCATCGCTTGTGGCAAATGAAGGCCTTTTCATTACCTCAGACTTCCTTGCATTTTTCATCCTCTCTCTGTAAATGAGGCCCAAACTGCATGAGGCCTTGTTAGGCCTAGCTGGCTAAAACTGCATAAATGCTTATTGAGCTGATGCGTGCTTTAATCTGCGACCCAAACTGCATTAGGCCTTGTTAGGCCTAGTTGGCTTACATGAGGGTTTATTGTGCTGATGCGTGCTTTAATCTGCAGATTGCCACTTGCATTCATATTTATTATCTAATTCTCTGCTATAACAAATTGGCCAGACCAAACCATAAGTCATAGAGACATGAAACTTGGACAGTAGGTAATAGTCCCTCCTTCTACTCATGCGCACGACATGAGTCCATTCGGCCTGATGGGCTATAGCATGTACGAATGCATTTTGCCGTTTTCTCCTAAACCAAACATTTTAGAGTCAGTAATTCATTTTTTTCCCTAATTACTTGGCTCAAAACAAATTAATTTGCAGGTTGGATTACCTAGCACCACCCCCTTAGATTTTATGCTATACAATATGCGAAACCTACTTTTGAGAACTAGTTCTAGGTTTTTCACTAAATCCCCATGAACTGATATCAAAAATTCACAAGTGCCTGAATAATAATTAAGAACATAGATAGATAGATAGATAGATAGATAGATCACTTTATTAATCCCAGAGGGAAATTCTCCTATTGCAGTAGTACACAGCACAGTAAAGAGCAAAACGAGCAAAATGAAAGTATTTCCTTACACTATTTACAGATACATAAATAGAAATTAGAGATAAATAATAAAATAAAATATACTAAAACAATAAACAATAAAGCACATGAATAAAAGACGTGCTGATTTTTTAAGCAGTATGGCTGCCATAAGCTTTTTAACACTTATGGAACAATTCGTATTTATTTCAAAACACTATAACTTGAGAATACTTCGTTCAAAAAAATTGGAATTTGATAGGATTTTTCAGGAGTCAATTTTGAGGTAAGTAATTGCTGAATAACTGTTACTCAGCATACATATATCGGATCAAGCTGAAATTTTGCAGGTAGCACCTTTTGGCAGACTATAAGTAAAATTCTAAAGACTACTTGATATATCATAATTTATGGCCACCATCAGCCAATCAGCTTTCAGCAGGCATTTGAAAGGCTTATCATTGTCCAGTCATTACAAAACTTGAATGGTTTGTCTATGTAGGGACTTCTATGCAGCCAGTGAAGTTTCAAAAGAAACTTCCCCCAGTGCTATTCATAATCAAATCAAAAATGATTACACATTACTTATGGTCACAAACCTGGTATCAGATAATGCAATACAGTGTACAGTTAATAGTTGCGGTCATGGTTATATCAAGTTATATCAACATATAATTTATCAGCAGTTGGTCTGATCATCTCAAAAACACAATGGGACTTTGATGAGGTTTCCAAATGCTATTACAGTGTTATTAAGAAGTCTAACAATAAACAAATGCTGCCTTGTTCGGTTCTCTGACCTGCATAACTTGGACTCCTTGTTTGGTATTTTGAATACCAAACAAGGAAGACTGGTTATTGTACAGAAGTCAAAAGGTCCATCTGAGCTAAGCTCTGTGAACATCTTTGTTAAAGTCCCCTTATCAGTAATCATAAAATATGGACACCTTTTGACACATTCTGACCCACTTTCACTTAGCTCCTGTATGTGAAAAAGGCTCCTTCTGGGTGCATTGGGCCTCATTATAGCATGCCTATCAAAGAGTTAAACTTTGAGAACCAAAGCACTGTGCAAAGACAACTATGTCAGTTTTACCATTAGTCCTGATTTTTAATATCTATGTTGGCAAACTTTAGCAAACTCTACAAAACTTTGTAGGTGAGTAAATATAATGTGTAAAGACCACTGTTCCTTGTTTATGGCTAATTGAAGGCCTGTTGATAACCTTTGACTGCCTTTCAGTTTTTTCCTCTCTGTCTATAAATAAGGCCCAAACTGCTATTTGTCTAATGGGCTCAAACTGCAGAAGGCCTCATAGGGCATGCTTGGACCCACTTATTACCACTTGCAGCTATATTGCTTTTTCTTCCCTAAAACTGACTGTTGAGAAGACACTGTAAGTCATCCTAACACCAAACTTGGAGGTTAGGTATAGTATTCCCCCAGCTACTCATATCTCCAGAACCATGAGGCCTACAGATATTCTTGCTTCTACATAAATCCTTGATTTATTCCACATAAACTTCCCACAGGGTCTGTCTAGCTCTGCACTCATAGTTTTTTTATACTAGTTTGAGGTTTTTCAGGATGTCCACACAGTATTGATCTCAAAATGTTCATGGAGTCTAGGGGTCAAGAATTATTTAAACAATGTGGATATTTGTAAGCAATATGGCTGCAACATGCCAATTAAGCTCTTCTGGGTTTATCTTAATTCACATAAATGGCTACAGATCAGGAGGGCTTCCCGCTGACCAATTCTCATGAATCTTAAAAGTATCATATCCCACATGATTTTGAGGAAGCCCACCAAGTTTGACACAAATTATTCAAAAGGGGGAGCTAGAATAACCAAAAAACTGTTTCTCAACAAAAGCTTGCCCGATTGGGCTAAACTTTGCATGCTGCATCCTTGGGGAATATTATAAGTGACATGTTAAGAACAGCGAAATCATTGGAGAAATATTGCCACAATTGGCCAACAGGCATTTGGGGGGCTTAGCATTGACCAGTCAGAAAAATTGATTGATGTGTCCACATAGGCAATCTCTAATAGGTCAAGTTTGACCTTTATTGGCCATGACGTGGTGCTATTCAAAAGAACAAGAATAAGTCCTATAAGTTTTATCTTGAAAAAAACATAAATCACTTCAAATCATGGATTACACTGAGCCTGACATTTTATCAAATACGCATCTATTAATGAAATGAAATTAAAAAAGGAGTTTTTTTGGACTTGTCTGTGGATTTTAATCAAATTGTCTCATTCAGCTTTAAAACAATCTGTAGAGTCTGTAGGTAAATAATTATTCAAGTTCATACATGCGCAATCTAGTACTCATTTAATAATTTTATAATATTTCTTTCTATGATTAAAATAAAGAAACAATAACCATTTCAAAGTACACATCTCACTAAGACCTAACAATTTGCAAATGTGTGTTCATTGCTAAACTCCACAGGGAATCCTGCAGAATAATGAAGAGGAGAGATATGTTAATCCCAGTACCATGTGTGGCCGCCTTTATGGTTTTCCTGCAAATGCAGTTTGGAATATTTCCAGTTTTATTTGCCAACATTGATGTTCCAACATTCATACACTCTGAGCATGGTTATTGTACTCGTGGGCAACCTTTCTCTGCCCTTTTCTTCTACTTCTGAGCACTGGCTTCTTATTATCAAGAGTAGAGCAGAATATAGTGTATTTTAATGAAGTTTTGTTGGATCATAAATTTTTATTTGGGTTTCTGGGTAATGCCTACATTGTAGCTGTAAATGATTGCTATGTAAATAATGGTAGCCTTGAAAGGGGGCTCCTGTGAATGGTTTAAATGGCAATTTGGATTTTATACATCTGATGGTGATGAAGCTTTCCTGTTAATATAAGATTTATTTAGCAGTGTTTCAGATGGAATTTCCATGACTATCTACATACTATGTCTTGTGTTTGTTGGTTTATTCAGGAGGAGTCTGCAGAGTGGCGGCAGTTTCAGGCTGATTTGCAGACAGCTGTGGTCATTGCCAATGACATCAAGTCTGAAGCGCAGGAGGAGATAGGTGACCTGCGACGTCGCCTGCAAGAGGCCCAAGAGAAGAATGACAAACTCTGCAAAGAGCTGGACGAGGTTAAAAACCAAAAGTAAGACATTATTTCGGTAACACTTTCTATGAATGTCACCTTTGTAAGCATCTATAAACACATTCATAACATGGTATAATGCATTCATAAGACATTATAAACATAGCTATAAATATTTAGAAAAATGCATTATACGTTATGCATTATGAATTGTTAACATAATACATTAAAAGTACTGATCTTAATAAATTATAAGAGCTCATAAGTCGTATTTGTCTGCTCTAAGTAAAGTGAAGCATGCTGTACTAAAGCCTCCTCCAGGGTTAAGAGTGAGGCTTCAACTTGAAGTATTTACTGAAGGATTTACTGAAACACTAAAACACACACAGTAAAGCACATGACAGGCTTCAGATGTCAGAGTTCAAACTAGTGCTGCTATCAGTGTTTTACCCAATGTGGGAAAGGTAATGTACACCACCGTTAGCTTGGTATTTGTCTTTACTTTATGCTTTCAAAGCTGGGAACACTATTAACACTATTTATAATGCATTATATTAACAATTCATAATGTATAATAAACATGGCAATAAAGTGTAATTCAGTGTAATTCTTTTTTATAAATATTTATAACCATGTTTATAATGCCTTATGAATACATTATAACATGTTATAAATGTGTTTATAAATGCTTACAAATGTAACATTCATAGAAAGTGTTACTGTTATTTCGTAGCAAATGCAGATGATATTAGCTTTATTCACGTAATGATCTGTGTGTGTATAAATATTATGGTAAATCAAACACAAGATAATTATACACAGTGATGCTAGTGCAGTGAATTGGTGATTCTGAGAGTAAGACAGAAGTTCTGGCGTGAGATAACATGCATTCATCTGAGGTCACCGAACGGTAGGTTTCAATGTTTTCGAATAAAAAGAAAAATACATTATAGGTGTAAACATACATGCTAATTTCAGCTAATTCTTCTGTGGGATTTGCAGTGTTATGTTGGCTAGCAGTGGTGCACATTCACTTTCACACACTTTCACTTACACTCAAAAGATTTAGCCGATAATGTTTCAGTTCGCCTCTAGGTTATGCAATATGATGCACCAAGTGATGAAAATGTTTTTTAAAACATAAATAAATGAAATAGGCAAACAAACTTCAACTTCCTATTAACAAGGTAATTCCTATAGGTATGAACTGCAGAAGCATTTGTGGCATTCCCCTATGTTATCACTAAAAAAAGCAACACTCTCAACAGCACAGATAGCCAAAATACATAGTAGTGTGGTACTTTGAACCTAGGAAAGATGACAAGACTCATGTCACAAGAGCATAAAAGGTTGAAGACTATACAGCTTGAATATTACCTGAACAGTGGTTCTTTAAATATGATCAAAGATGGTAGGATGTCAAATTAATGTTGTATGTCTGTTAAACCTTGCAGACAGGATGAAGAGCGTGGCCGTGTGTATAACTATATGAATGCCGTGGAGCGGGATCTGGCTGCATTGAGGCAAGGCATGGGGCTAAGTCAGCGTTCCTCCACCTCCTCTGAGCCCTCACCTACAGTCAAAACTCTTATCAAGAGCTTCGACAGTGCCTCCCAAGGTTACACACAATACACCATAATACACCTTCTAATTTAGATAGAGTACATCATAGTCCGTGGCTTTATTCACTGTTAAGACTTAAACCAGGTGACATGATTTATGATTTGCATTCCCAAAAGAATGCAAGATCTGAAATAGTTTCATATTCCAAATAGTTTGTTTAGCCTGTTTTTTTGTAACTCTTTATTTTTGAAGCTGCTTCTTGATCTGTTTTTTTTCTGTGATTGCAGGCCCAGGTATGAATGCTTCAGCAGCTGCTGTTGCTGCTGCTGCTGCTGCCGCTGCTGCTGCTGCTGCTGTAACCACGGTGTCTGCTACATCCTTAACACGCAATCCTCTCAGTCCTAGCCCCCTAAAGACCCCTCCTGCGGCTGCTGTATCACCTATACAGGTACCCCAGCCATACAGTTATGGTTACATATGAAATAGAGAGACATTATTGGCTGTGTAGTCCTATGTGGCAACTACTTTCCGCTTATTCTCATGGCCTTCAGTTCTATGTAGCAGTTTTCTAAGCAAAAATGAATAAAGTTGTTAATGGTAACATGATGTGCCCTCCAGAAGAATGTTTACATGCCGTTTGCAGTTAAAAATGTCAGTTCTTTGTCAAGCTGTTAAAAAATAATACAATTACTTGGCTAGCTTGCTACATGGGTGCCGTTTCACCTCGGACCACTGAGTTTTCTGACAATAATCAGACCAGTGATGGAAAACTAATATGTACAAGAAGTTCTAAGATAAGCACATGTTGCTAATTGTCTGTTACCTCCGTTAGTGTTACTAGTATTTGTTTGTGAAGTGGTAGTAAACTGATTTTAAGCATGCTAGGTTAAAACATATATAAAAAACATACAGCATTACAGCATTTTTGCCCACTCAGGTCTTTCAAAGAGTACAAGGAAATATATTAAACTGAGAAAGATTTAAAGACATCTGTAACATCCAGTTGCTAAAATGTCCCTGGTCTGATTAATGTTATCATCAGGGGCAAAGCAAAAACCTTTTCAATGGGGTGGCAAATTTAGACCTAGCTATTTTATTGGGGTGGCAAACTGCTAGGGTGAAAAAAGGGTATGCGGTAACATTAGGAGAAAATAATATTTGGCAGGGCAGCAAGCATTAGCATGAAATCTAGACTGCATCATTAAATAGATACTTTGCTGTAAGAAGTATTCATCTTATAATGTCTAAACAATAGACGTTACTATACGACAGTAAATTTTAGTAGTTTTCATTCATTTTTGATAGTTACCTCATTTTACCATCATGCAGCCTTCTTCATATAACAGAGCAGCACTGCTGAATGCACTAGCCAAATTATTAATGTGCTCATAATTCTATGAAGATGAACAAAGTAATAATTGGTTAACCACATTTTTAATTTTATAGTTTCACTCTGGAGTGATTTTATACTGTTTTTCATTATGTGAAAAATATTATTTACTACTACTATTTCTACTACTATTTATACTTTGTGCTAAACTTTGTAAACAGTAATGTTACAATAATCCACACTGAGCACAACAAAAATACTGCAGTTCACTGATGTAAGGATTTATGTAGGTGCTTTTAAATGTTTTCCTAATGTAGATGTCAGCAGCTTTCTTAAGCAAAACAAACAAGAAAAACATTAAGGTTTTGTGCTGTACTCACTCGCCTGTGTGTGCTGATTAATGAGTGCAGCATCAGATCATAAACCATTGGTAACTACCCTAATGGCAGGTTTTCACCATAAAACCGTTCACACAAAGTATCAGAACTTTTCTGCGGTTACTGCTTTATTGATAACTGACTTTGTTTAACCGGGGTGGCCAGAAGGATGGCTACGCTTCACAGAACGATGCCACTGGCTATTCCTTGACTACACCCGTTGTGACATGGTTTTTAGAATCCTTTTTTTTAAATTGGGCAACATTTATCTATTCTCAAAAATGTGAGCATGTGAGCCTGCAAAAGTAATTTATGTTTGTATAATAAAATGTCTTCAGAGGTATTCCTCTGTGTGTCCCCAAAGTTTTTATTGTGCTACTGAATGACATCAAAGCTTTTAGCACAAGTGCTACAGATGCAATCAGGCAGCCTGAGCTGATAGTTTGACAGACATAGCAACAGTAACTAGCCACATTTTGCATTGTTATTAAAGGGTTAATGATTTATTGATATTCACACTGTCTGGTTTGTGGTTATTTACAGAGGCATTCCGTCACAGGCTCTCTGTCTTCTGCAATGCCCCTTTCCTCCCTCACAGAGAAAAGACCCAGCTATGCTGACATCAGCATGTCAGGTACGCCTGCAGCTCTTCTTAACGCAAGTCACATATCCTTATTATATACTAAAAAAGCCAGCTATATTCATGTTTTAGAGCATTTACTCTTTTGGGGGGATATGCAGTAGGTGTGCAAAAGCATCAAAGGGTCTTTATTAGGGTGGAATAAGCAAATACTTGCTGTCTTCTCTTCTTCCTTTTATATTTATATTTATTTTTATATTTATCTTTTGTGTTTATTTTAATTATATTTTTATCTAGTATTTATATTTAATGTTATTTTATTAATAACATCCAGCAAGGATGGGTTTTGTGAACACAAGCCACCTCTACGTTGTTTTATTTGTTTTTGTGCTGTTTTTGTGCTTCAAAACAAAATAATTTTATTTACTTTAGAATGACATAAGACATGCTTGTTGTATTGCACGCTTGCTCTTATCTTTCTTTCACTGCAGGTGAGCATCTACTTCGAGCAGCCAGTGGGAGTCGTCCTGCCTCTGTTCTCCAAAGAGTCTCCAATCTGGACTCTTCGAAAGCCATTTCAGGTGCATTTCCCATCTCAGAGGAATGTAAACTTGTTACATGCATTTTTACAAGAGAGCTCATGTCGCTGCCATTGCACTGGCTACCTGTGTCTTTTAGGACAGATTTCAAAATTCTGTTACTAGTTTCAAGGCTCTGAATGAGCACCCGCTTACCTCACAGAATGTCTGTCTGTTCCAACACATGATCGTAAATCTGCAGATACTCGCTTTCTGCAAATATATTCTGTAAAATACAGAAAAACATGAAGAGGCCTCTTTTGGTGATTGTGCTTCTAAACAGTGGAACTCAATTCCCCCTTTAATTAGACAGTCAAGCTCAGTGCACACTTATAAGAAATATTTGGAAATGTATCTGTTTACCTTAGCAAAACTGTGCATCTCTTTGGTATTTATCTTTTTAATTAAATCTGTGTCATTGTCTTACGTGGTTTTAAATTAATAGAGTTTCTTCTATTATTGTCATGCTTTATCATCTGTGTGCTTTATCATCTATATACACTTTGAGCTGCCACCAGCATGAAAAGTACTCTTTAAGTAAAGATTATTATTATTATTATTATTATTATTATTATTATATATCCTTTTGCTTCCCAGTCTCTAGAAGGAGCAGTGAGGAGGCGAAGAAGGATCTAAATGTTCTAGACAGTGGGCCCAGCCCCTCTCTAATGACCATAAGTTCTGCAGTGTCTTCTCTTTCCCTGCCCTCCTCATCCCCGACAGCCTCTGTCACTCCTACAGCACGTAGTCGCCTACGGTACCTACTTTACTCTGTCCTCACTTTGCTTTGTCCAAATTATAATTATATTCTAAATGTTTAATGTGATAATTGTCTCACTGGTAATGATGTGTAAAACTTGTGTTGCTCATACTTTTAATATGTTTGAACTAATAAAAATAGTCTAAATTGAAAAAGGTTAAACCTGAGCAAGAGTAATTGGCATCTGGAAAAAATACTTCTTTACACTTGTTTTAGTACACATTTTAAGTATGTTTACTTTTTGTTTCATGTTCTTTTTCTATACAATTATCAAAGCACTCATCAAAACACAAAAACAAAAAACAAAAATAAAACAAACTCTTTTGTCATCAGTCAGCATGGAGAAAGTCTAAGAACTCACAACAGAAATGAACAAACCCTTAATGATCAGCACAAACTATTTGTAATATAATACAATACCAATCATATAATAGTATAATACCAATATCCACTCTCAGAGCTATTATTGAATCCCATACAGTTGAAACAGTGATTACTCTCCCAAGAAGAGGGAGAGAATGGTGAAATGGATGTTGAGAGAAGGAAGGTAGTTCCAACGTTTAGAGTTTAATAACTATAAGGATTGTTTGTGTTATGAGATTATCCCAAAAACACTAGAATTAGACAACACCACGTGCTAACAAGCTATTTGGAAGGGAAGAAAGTCGTAACAATAGTAGAAGAGGGAATTGAAGTGTGTTAAGTATTTGACACTTTCACAAGAAGCACTTGGTGTGCTCAAAAATGCTTTACTGCAAGTAGTCCTGGGACCCTCAGGACGATCAGTGGCACCATGAGTTCTCAAAAGAATCAGGCCATTGAAACCAACAAACCATTTTTGAACGAGAAGGATTTGTCAATGGGACAATCACTCAGAAAACTTTAAAACAATCAAGAAATGGTTGATGGGAAAATAAGCATTTTACCTGATTTCAAGCCTATTGAAAAATTGGTCTCAAATGAAGAGGACATAATAACACTTAACAGTTCCACACTCTATTATGATAGTGGCAACTAGTGGTCCACTTTTTGAAAACACATGAAAACTGGTGAATTGTTGATATCTTTCAGTCTGCAAAAACATGTAAGTAAATAATTGACATTGTTAGTCAAACATTTAGTCGTGCCGCACAGGTCTGCTTTTAAAGTACATTATTGACTGTGTGTTGCATTTGCCTGTAAAGGGAGCTAAGGTCAGCCACAACACTTTGCCATATGATAATGAACTCCTAAAGTGGTGTAGATTATCGGGCTATGAATCTGAACCCATCAGGTGTAACTTATCAGTGATGTCTTGAACATGCTAGATCTAGATCTAGAACATTTAAGATCTTTTCTAGATCTTTTAAAGTGATCGTCAGAATAAATATATTTCAAAGTTTGTGAAGCATATAATTTACATGTAGCTTTGCCTGCTTACCACACCATGCGACAAAACAAATACCCCAAAAATAACCATTAAATGTATAGAATGAAAATTTTGATTTATGCTTTTTTAAAACTTAAATCTTAAGTGCTTGAGTACAAGCAGAAATAATGTTTTTTTCTTTTTTCAGAGAGGAGAGGAAGGATCCTTTGTCAGCCCTGGCCCGAGAGTATGGTGGCTCCAAGAGGAATGCACTACTAAAATGGTGTCAGAAAAAGACAGAAGGTTATCAGGTACAGGCTTCTGACTTTATTCATTAGTGATGCGTATTCTTGCTTAGTGAACATTCTGGCAGCCCAGGGGATGTAAGGAGGGTGCAGAAGATCTCAACCACAGAAATGGCGATTTGGATACCAACAACAATCAAAATACAGCTTCAAACAAGACACTTCCTATGGCATGTTTACACAATAGTTTAAAAGCCATTGCAAATTTACTAAAAATGTTCAGTTTACTTTTTTTAGTACTAGACAAGGATAGCCTCTCCATTTTTCTTTGCAGTTTGTTGAACTACTAGGTGCAGCATGGTATCACATGGAACAGCGTATGTATATGTTATATGTAGATGTGTTACTGTTTTTGCAAAAACCCACAAAATTATTTTAATAAGTCATCAAGCACATTATAGAATTTACAAATACTGACTTTCGTCTAGCTCTGTAGTCTGTATACAGTTACTATTGGAAGATGTACTTTTGTGTCTCTTGACTTGCTACAACAAAGATTAATGTTGCAGTTGTAACTGCGCTGTATAACAGCTTTTATGTCAGAATTGTCTAGGCTGTGACTTGAAAGCTCTACAATAAGACTGTCTGCCAGTATCCTGGCCTCCTAACTCTTTCCTTTGGGCAAGGACAAAGATTTAAAACAACAATTCATATAGTTATATGTAACTGTTACTGCACTACATTGCAACAATACATGTCTTGCAATGCATATTTAATCCAGTCAGATATTTCATCTAAACTTCATACAACTATTAAAAACAATAGGAAGTGATTTAAATTGTTAGACTGCAATCTCTCTATCAGAAATATTAGCAGAAAAAGTGATGATTCAAATGATTCAAATGAATTACTTACATGCAGTGATCCCTACTGAGCTTAATATGAAATAGATTAACCTTTTAGATACATAGATATTGAAGTTTTAATAAGGGCAACAAAAAAAAACAAGGCTGAAACTCTCCAAGATAATGGTAGCCTACCCTAAAAAATCAGCTTCAACATTTACATATAAGGAGGCAATGGTGTCAACTACAAAAGCTCCTGCTTGAAATTGGAAATGCAGTGAAATTTCTATCACAAGCTTATTAAGAGTGTAACAGTAAGCTGTTGCACAGCATGAGCATGCCAGTGTGGGTTGTTGATTGGTGCTGGTTGTTTGTTAACTCTTATAATTAATAGAATGCCCATTCTCCACAGTGCATTGTCAGGTCTCCATGATGCATATTTTCCATCACAGTATCACAATGTATTGTTACACCCTTACATAAGTATATGGTTCTTACCAAAGCATACAATACCCTTACTGTTTTACACTTCTCTTCAGAACTTGAGAACTTGGAGATGTATAATCTAGCAGTAATATTATTGTTTGGTCTAGGTGTGACCTGATGGCCGCGATATGAAACAGGCATATAACTCTGTAATATTAAGAGACCAAGTACTTTTCAATTTTTGTGGAACCAGGTTTAACAAAAAGATGTGTGTGCATTATTTTGATATGTGTCAAATGTATTTCAGTGTATTTTTTTGCCAGTTTTATTCAGGTATTCCAATATTTCTGCCTGATTAACAGAACATTGATATAACCAACTTCAGCAGCAGCTGGAATGATGGACTGGCCTTCTGTGCTGTTCTTCACACATACCTACCAGCTCATATACCATATCAGGAACTCACTAGCCTGGACAAGGCAAGCACTGCATTAGGACTGACACATAATAAGTATACCTACAAGTATCTACAAATGTTTCTTGGAATCTCAGAATCTTAGAATATACTGCAGTTGAAAAAATTTATCACATTCTGACAGAGTGTTGTTTTTTGCTTTTAGAGACGTAACTTCTCTCTGGCTTTCCAGGCAGCTGAAAGCGTAGGAATCAAGTCCACTTTGGTAAGAGTCTACTGATTAGTAAAACTGTATATGGCAGTAGACTATGAAAATTAATTTACTGATTTTGACCATTGAAATATTCTTTAAATATTTCTATGTATTATTATTATTATTATTATTATTATTATTATTGTTATTAGGGTTCAAGCACGCAGTGCGTAGAACCCTATTGTTTTTGCTCGGATTTTTCTTCTTCTTCTTCTTATTATTATTATTATTATTAGGGTCCAAGCACGCAAGTGCGTAGGACCCTATTGTTTTTGTTAGAGTTTTTCTTATTATTAGGGTTCAAGCATGCAATGCATTGAACCCTATTGAAATTGTCAAGATTTTTCTTATTAGGGTTCAAGCATGCAATGCATTGAACCCTATTGTTTTTGTCAAGATTTTTCTTATTATTATTATTAGGGTTCAAGCATGCAATGCATTGAACCCTATTGAAATTGTGCGGATTTTTCTTATTATTATTATTAGGGTTCAAGCATGCAATGCATTGAACCCTATTGAAATTGTCAAGATTTTTCTTATTATTAGGGTCCAAGCACGCAAGTGTGTAGGACCCTATTGTTTTTGTTAGAGTTTTTCTTCTTCTTATTATTATTATTAGGGTTCAAGCACGAAGTGCGTAGAACCCTATTGGAATTGTGCGGATTTTTCTTATTATTATTAGGGTTCAAGCACGAAGTGCGTAGAACCCTATTGGAATTGTGCGGATTTTTCTTATTATTAGGGTTCAAGCATGCAATGCATTGAACCCTATTGGAATTGTGAGAATTTTTCTTATTATTATTAGGGTTCAAGCATGCAATGCATTGAACCCTATTGAAATTGTCAAGATTTTTCTTATTATTATTATTATTATTTTTCTGCCCTGAAACGGAATGCACAGCCCAAACCGTAAGTCCTAGAGACACCAAACTTGGTCAATAGGTAGTAGTCCCTCCCGCTACTCAGGCGCAAGAAATCAGCCCAGTCGGCCACAAGGGGGCGCTACAGCGCAGGCCAACGCGTTTGGGTCTGTATCTCCTAAACCAGATTTTTGCCAGACAAGCCATATTTTTTTCCTGATTCTATGGGTCCAAATAAACCATTTGGCTATTTTGATTATTAAGCTCCGCCCACTTAGATTTTTCGCAATACTGCAAAATGTGCGAAACCTACTTTTGTGTACTAGTCCTCCAATCTTTGCCCAATCCTCATGTGTTTGGTGTCAAAAAATTCAGAAGAGTGTCCTGGTCAATAATTATCAAAAACATTTCAAGTTTTCCATACAACATGGCTGCTATATGCAAATGAACCCTTCTGGATAAATTCAAAATAATTCAGAATTAATTGAAAAATCTGTAACTCAAGAATCCTTCAGCCAAAAAATTTCAAACTATATAGGGCATGTCAGTAGCCCATTCTGAGGTAGCCATTCGATTTTTGTGTCCATAAGTAATTAGGGGGCGGAGCAACAAAAACAGGGCATTTTCTCTGCCTCAGTCCACTAAAATGACCAACTTTCTATTTACATGTTATGTCAAAAATTGCACTGCTTGTCTTTTATTTTGGCTTATTCTTTCAAAGATTTCACTATACAAAGACTTACTATACAAAGGCTTGAGGCCTGTTTAGGCCTAATATAATAGAAGGCTTGAGGCCTTTTTAGGCCTAATGGGCGAAACCAAAAGCTTGAGGCCTTTTTAGGCCTAATGGGCTAAACCAGAAGCTTGAGGCCTTTTTAGGCCTAATGGGCTAAACCTGCAGAAGGGCCCGTACTGCTGTTGCGTGCTTGAACCCGCTCATTGCCGCTTGCGGCTATATTTATTATTATTATTATTATTATTATTTTTCTGCCCTGAAACGGAATGCACAGCCCAAACCGTAAGTCCTAGAGACACCAAACTTGGTCAATAGGTAGTAGTCCCTCCCGCTACTCAGGCGCAAGGAATCAGCCCAGTCGGCCACAAGGGGGCGCTACAGCGCAGGTCAACACGTTTGGGTCTATATCTCCTAAACTAGATTTTTGCCAGAAAAGCCATATTTTTTTCCTGATTCTATGGGTCCAAATAAACCTTTTGGCTATTTTGATTATTTAGCTCCGCCCACTTAGATTTTTCGCAATACTGCAAAATGTGCGAAACCTACTTTTGTGTACTAGTCCTCCAATCTTTGCCCAATCCTCATGTGTTTGGTGTCAAAAAATTCAGAAGAGTGTCCTGGTCAATAATTATCAAAAACATTTCAAGTTTTCCATACAACATGGCTGCTATATGCAAATGAACCCTTCTGGATAAATTCAAAATAATTCAGAATTAATTGAAAAATCTGTAACTCAAGAATCCTTCAGCCAAAAAATTTCAAACTATATAGGGCATGTCAGTAGCCCATTCTGAGGTAGCCATTCGATTTTTGTGTCCATAAGTAATTAGGGGGCGGAGCAACAAAAACAGGGCATTTTCTCTGCCTCTGAACATCCGATCAAGCTGAAACTTTGCATCCAGCATTCTCTCCCCAGTCTACAAGTGTGCATTGAAGGACAATTGAATACATCGAAATTTGTGGTCGCCATCGGCCAATAAGCATTCAGCAGGCCATTTGACAGGCTTAACATTGACCAATCATGACGAAACTTGACTAGTGTCTATATCTAGCCACTTTCTAACAACCAGTCGAGTTTCAAAAGATTTGACCACTGGGGGGCGCTATTTCAAAAAATTACACATTATTACATGTTATTACAATATTATTACAATTTTCGCCTACAACCTATTGTACTACCATGTGACAAACAATTTTGCCTATACATGTTTATTAAAAATCTGTATCCTTTTTTTGTAAGAGATAAATGTTTCAAAACCCTACTTTTTGAACTAGTCTCTGGATTTTGATCCAATATTTTCAAAATTGGTCTAGAACAATTCTTTGGCCTCTCTAAGTAAATAATTATCAAAAACATTTTGACTTTTCTACTCAGGGTCATGTGGATTAATCACTAAATTCCTGCGTACGTGGTATTGTTAGCTTGATTAGCTATAACTCACCAGCCATTGGTCAGATCATGTCCAAACTTTGAGGATTTATACATATTTGGACTCTAATGGTGTATGCCAATTTTGGTCCACATTGGCCTTTGGGTGTGCCTTAGCACTCAAAAACACTGAAAAATCAATGAAAATGCTATTACAATGTTATTACAAGGTCCACATATAAACTATTGGTGTCATATGACTCAGTCCACTAAAATGACCAACTTTCTATTTACATGTTATGTCAAAAATTGCACTGCTTGTCTTTTATTTTGGCTTATTCTTTCAAAGATTTCACTATACAAAGACTTACTATACAAAGGCTTGAGGCCTGTTTAGGCCTAATATAATAGAAGGCTTGAGGCCTTTTTAGGCCTAATGGGCGAAACCAAAAGCTTGAGGCCTTTTTAGGCCTAATGGGCTAAACCAGAAGCTTGAGGCCTTTTTAGGCCTAATGGGCTAAACCTGCAGAAGGGCCCGTACTGCTGTTGCGTGCTTGAACCCGCTCATTGCCGCTTGCGGCTATATTTATTATTATTATTATTATTATTATTTTTCTGCCCTGAAACGGAATGCACAGCCCAAACCGTAAGTCCTAGAGACACCAAACTTGGTCAATAGGTAGTAGTCCCTCCCGCTACTCAGGCGCAAGGAATCAGCCCAGTCGGCCACAAGGGGGCGCTACAGCGCAGGTCAACACGTTTGGGTCTATATCTCCTAAACTAGATTTTTGCCAGAAAAGCCATATTTTTTTCCTGATTCTATGGGTCCAAATAAACCTTTTGGCTATTTTGATTATTTAGCTCCGCCCACTTAGATTTTTCGCAATACTGCAAAATGTGCGAAACCTACTTTTGTGTACTAGTCCTCCAATCTTTGCCCAATCCTCATGTGTTTGGTGTCAAAAAATTCAGAAGAGTGTCCTGGTCAATAATTATCAAAAACATTTCAAGTTTTCCATACAACATGGCTGCTATATGCAAATGAACCCTTCTGGATAAATTCAAAATAATTCAGAATTAATTGAAAAATCTGTAACTCAAGAATCCTTCAGCCAAAAAATTTCAAACTATATAGGGCATGTCAGTAGCCCATTCTGAGGTAGCCATTCGATTTTTGTGTCCATAAGTAATTAGGGGGCGGAGCAACAAAAACAGGGCATTTTCTCTGCCTCTGAACATCCGATCAAGCTGAAACTTTGCATCCAGCATTCTCTCGCCAGTCTACAAGTGTGCATTGAAGGTTGTTTGGATACATCGAAATTTGTGGTCGCCATCGGCCAATAAGCATTCAGCAGGCCATTTGACAGGCTTAACATTGACCAATCATGACGAAACTTGACTAGTGTCTATATCTAGCCACTTTCTAACAACCAGTCGAGTTTCAAAAGATTTGACCACTGGGGGGCGCTATTTCAAAAAATTACATATTATTACATGTTATTACAATATTATTACAATCTTCACCTACAGCCTATTGTATTACCATGTGACAAACAATTTTGCCTATACATGTTTATTAAAAATCTGTATCGTTTTTTTGTAATAGATAAATGTTTCAAAACCCTACTTTTCGAACTAGTCTCTGGATTTTGATCCAATTTTGTCAAAGTTTGTCTAGAACAATTCTGTGGCATCTCTAGGTAAATAATTATCAAAAACATTTTGACTTTTCTACTCAGGGTCATGTGGATTAATCACTAAATTCCTGCGTACGTGGTATTGTTAGCTTGATTAGCTATAACTCACCAGCCATTGGTCAGATCATGTCCAAACTTTGAGGATTTATACATATTTGGACTCTAATGGTGTATGCCAATTTTGGTCCACATTGGCCTTTGGGTGTGCCTTAGCACTCAAAAACACTGAAAAATCAATGAAAATGCTATTACAATGTTATTACAAGGTCCACATATAAACTATTGGTGTCATATGACTCAGTCCACTAAAATGACCAACTTTCTATTTACATGTTATGTCAAAAATTGCA